CACTTAAATTTAGAAGGAAAACCATTTTTGGGATATTTGTTACATACTATTATTTAGGACTGTCTTAAGAGTTTTAGCTGGGTAATAGTGGTGAATGGCAATTGGTTTCTGTCCTGAGAAATCCTTTCATGTGTCCCATCCATTTCAAATACGAAGAAAAACTGAGCCCTTGAATGGCGTGGAAGTTAAATGAGTTACAATCTATTTTGCGTGTCCCATCCATTTCAAATACGAAGAAAAACCGAGCCCTTGAATGGCATGGAAGTTAAATGAGTTACAATCTATTTTGTGTCTTTATTAATTTTTAAAATGTTCAATCTTAGAAGATAATGATCCGAGTAACAGATGAATGTCCTGTTGTAAGCAGTAAGGTTTTGTCTATGACATTTGCGGAAGTGTCTTCAATTATTAGCCATAAATTTCATGGACGGGCTTAGAGATCATGCCAAAGGTGAATAATACTGATTAATATCACAGAATTGCACAAATGTTGAATTACTTCAAATGAGTTGAGGTTTCAGTTTTATTTTGAGGTGCCTTGTAATTTTAAATGGCAATATAACTTAGCCCCTTTACTCCCATCACTGTGACTTCCCTGTTTCCAAGGTCGGTCAGAAAACTGTACGTAGCACCCAGAAAGGTAAATTATCTAAAATTACTCACCTTGTCCATAAAAATACACCATATAACTATAGCCCTTTCTAGGTTAATCCTGTTTGGGAGGCCAATTCCTCTAGTTCACGTGTGCTAATGGAAAGAAGAATGAAGAGATCATCCGTGCACTTGTGTTAAAGGCAAAAAAATCTTCTTATCCCTATCAACCTGTTAGTGCAATTCTGGCATGAGGTAGCAATACCCAAATAGCATCCAGGAGTAGGAGCTTTGAGGCTTAATTTGGTGGTGTGTGCTAAACCTTTTTTCTACCTAACCACTGTTGTCATTTCTGTGCTGATGCGAGCAACAAATATTATTGATACAACTCTGTAGCTGCTAATATGCTTTCAGTGCAATGCATTCGCCTTTGGTGGTCTTCGGTGCTGCATTTCCTGAGAGCAACAGGTTGCTGTGTGATTTTTGCTAATGCACCGTTGGCCAACATGCCCATATTTCTAACAGTGTCTGTCTGGTGCGTTATTTTTTTAGAAGACTTTTACAGTGGTTTCTGAGAGGGCAGTTGTCCCTTTAGGGAACTGCGAAAAACTTGCATCAACTCTTGCAACTCTTGCTTTGGTTCCACAAACTTCTCTCTCTCATGATCGTAAAAGAAGGAAAAAGGGAGATGGTGATAGTGTCAGTAATAGAAAGGAGGTGAAAGAGCTGTATATTCTCTATAAAATCTTTATGAAACCCACTGTTTCTGGAAATACATGCAGGTAGAGCACTATTTGGCAATAATTATGTGATTTTAACCAGGCAGTTTTGAGATTCCAGCAGAATTACTTCTCCAGTAACAATACTGAGTATATTGAGATTGTGCCTTCTTCCTAAGGAGAACCACCTTTCTGTGCTGCCTTTCTGTTTTCTGTTTTTTTAAACAGCAACTTTACAAGTAATTATTCCAGAAAAGGAATGTTTCTTTTCCTCCAGAGTAAAAGTACCCCACTGAACTCATTCGGTGTAAGGAAGTGAGTATCCTGCTGTAGAAGTGAGTCTGTACATGATGTTAAAGAGGAAAATGCATCCCTCAAAATCTCAGTTTTAGTACTTAACTGTATGTCCTAAGTATTAAGGTGGAAAGCTCTTTAAGATTTTTGATGGTTGTGATTTAGAGCAAAATTCGGTAAGATGCCATGATTCGTGTGATTTATTAGGGATACATCTCCTTTAGAAAATAGCATCTTGGCATGAAAGAACCTTTTGCTTGTCTGTGTTGTATTATTAATATGTGCACTGAGATTTTTGCTCTGTTTAAAGCATAGTAGTAACCTTTAAAACAAAGTAGAGAAGTGACTCTCTTTAGTTTAGTAGTGGTGGGGGAAAACCAATCACTGAAGTGTACTTTTACATTTCCTTGAGCTGTGGAAATTCAATCTTAACTGAAGTCTTAATTCCGGTTCCTTGAAATACTTGTCTACTTACTAGATTATTTTAATTGGAGGTTTTTTGGACTGGATTCAGAGTTGTGGGCTGATGTGTAAAGTTCATAGGGATGAAGTATCAGTGGTCAAACAGCAAACTATGACTTTTCTTTCTAATCATATGTTATGCGAGTAGAAATAAACAGCACAATGGAAAGCAGGGTATTGATGGTGACTCTCTAGTATTAAAAGGCACCTGAGCACTCATGAAATGCTGAAATTAAATACCACCCCCTGACTTAATTTTTGGCTTTGCTCTGCAAAGGAACTTTGTAGGGATGGAGCTTGACATATGCTGCTTGAGTAGTGTCTGGGTGAAACTGGTAAAATGAGATAATCTGAGGAGCGCCTTTCAGGTTCAAAGCCAAAGATTTGAGATCCCTGTCGTGGTTTAGGGCTGGGCTGGCCATTAAATCCTGGACAGACGCTCTCTATTAACC